CCTGGTTTCTGACAATTAAGATGTACAGCACATCAACCGCATGCTCGACGAGCACTTGAAAGCGCCGCTTCCTTCACCGCCCACAAGACGGCGACGCAAAGCCGGTGCAGTGCTCACTGAGGATGCTACTTCTTCCGAACTGGTAGAAGCACAGCAACAGCCAGATGAAGTGCTTCAGAAGGATATCACCGCCTCGGAACCTGGTACCACACCGAAAGACGCTCCAGCAACGGACGATGCTCCAGCAACGGAAGCCGCTTCAACGACGGAGGAAGTCCCAGCGATGGAGGAGGTTTCAGCGACAGACACACAATATTCAACTCCACCAGTAGCCGATGGTGCAGACGTTGCACCTCAGACTGAGATCATGGCCGGAGACGTCGAGCAAGCCACGGTACCCAAGGATACATCAGAGCTGCAGGAGCCTGGCGACACGACGTCTTCAGCGGAGCCTGTTGAAGAAGGCAATGACGCCAGCGAGGAGATTGCAGCACCTTTCAAAGCCGAGCCTAATGAAACCGAACTTGTTGAATCTGGACCTGTTGAAGCCGAACCTGTTGAAACCCAGGGAGTCGAAGCTAGCAAAGAGGAGCCCACTGAGCTACTATCATCAGAGAATGCACCAGCACCAGCATTTCAGGAGCCAGCACTTGCATCGATGGAGGTCGAGACAGCCCCCGATCTGACGCCCGAGGAGGTCCGCGCTGAGGCCGCTTTGACAGAAGCCCAGGAGCCAGCTCCTGAATCAGTGGAGAGCGAAGACGTGCTGGCTTCGGCACCGGAGGATATTCCTGCAAAGGTTGACCCCTCAGAAACCAAAGAAGCCACATTTGCACCACCAGTCGAAGCGGAACTCATCGGCCCAGTTCATGAACCAAGTGCTGACACCGCCGCCGCAGCACTCGATTCCACAGGATCCCAGGCTGAAACGCCTGAATCAGAGGACATCGAGACCTCGCAATCCCAAGAGGTTGCTGCTGCTCCGGAGGCGACGGTCACAGCCAATGCTGAACCCTCCGGAGAAATTGAAATCATGCCTGATGAGCAACGCGTTGAAATAGTCCCAGATATCGCCAGCGCTTCGGAGCCAGTAGAAGATGTGCCTGCACTGACAACTGAAGGCCAATCCGAGGGCAAAGCTGAGGCTGAATCTGCGCCAAATCAAGAGTCTGCATCCGAGTCCTCGTTTGTACCTGATCAAGAGGCAGACGTAACCGAAGTACAAGCAGATGCTTCCCCAGCACTTGAAAACACTCAGGTCGATTCTAAGGAAGGCGCAGAAAACGTGCAAGAGGCAGGACCCACACCAAAAGAACTCTTTGACACATCAGAGATTGTGCAAGCCAGTCCAGAAGATGTCTTGAATACTGTTGCAGCGTCAAGTCCTGATCTACAAGAAGCATCATCCGTGACCAAGGAGGTCGAGTCCATCCCAGAAGAAGCGCAACCTGTTCACGAGGCAGCCATCGCTCCATTGCAAGATGAACCTCCCCCAGCTGAATCCGAGCCGACAGAGTCAGCAGAGCCGCCAAGCGTTGCGCCAGCTCCTGAGGAACAAGCACCAGCGGCCCAAGACAGTCAACCTTGCTTATCTGATCCCGAAGATCCAGTCGAGGCTCGCTCCTCCGAGGTAGAACCAACAGCGCCACAGCAGGACTTGAGCGTGCCAGCGGAGACCAAAGTAGAGCAGGTTTGTGAGGCCAGCTCCGCAGAACTACAGGCACATCAAGCCCCCATCGAGAGTGTGGAAGAAGTCGGTCAGGATGTCGAGCCGAATTTCGAAGGCACTGAGGGCAGACCTCAGGAGACAGAATCGTTGGCCGAACAACAGGACAACGAGGTGACCGAATTGACTCCGGTTCAAGACCATGCCAACATGAGCAATGCGCGCATAGCGTCAGAAGAAACCGTTCCTGGAATCACTGTTGAAGCAGAGCCTGCCGTGGTAGGAGAAATTGAGCCAAATATGGAAAATGTAACGGCGGAAGCAGTTGAGGTTGTGCACAATGATGATGTTGAGTTTACACCAGCTCAAGTCTCGCAACTCACTGAGGTTGAGTTTGGGACGCCTCTCAAGACTGCTGCGTCTGGACCGGAAATGGATGAAGCCATTTCGGAGCAAGTCACGATGCCTGAAATTGAGCCATCTCCACAAACGACTGTATCTACCCCGGAGAAGCCGAGCTCAACGGAGGTCGCCGACGAAGTCAATGAAGAAAACGACAACCAAGCATCAAGCCCGAACGCCTTGACTGATTCTTCGGAAGTCGCTGTCCTAGTCGAGCCTCTCTCATTCATAGAGTCCAAGGAGATTCCTGCCACAGCAAACGAAGAGGTTCAGTCTCAGATAGGCCCTGACCAATCTCACGACTTGACCGATTCTGTGTCACAAAATGTAGGAGTGACGGACTCTACTTCCCAGCTCGCTCCGAGTGGTATCCCCGTGGATCTTTACAAGGGAAGGACAGACGTCTTTGCAAAAGAAAATTTGCCGGTCTCAGAGGAATTGCATGCTGAGTCAGCCGATCAATCCCAAGACGCCCTCGAAGAGGAGTCTACCACTGAAGCTCAGGCAGAGTCTCATGATATTGGTCTTGCTCAAGCTCTGCCCGAGGAATTGCACGACCAAGCTGAATTCCGTGCACTTGCTGAGGATCAAGCACCTGCTCCTGTGGCTGCTGCAAGCATAGAGCATACCATTGAATCAAAGGCTGGCAACGATGCGCCATACATCGATGGAGACCGAGATGCGATCACTGCAGGCCTGGAGACTGAGCCAGAAACTGAGTCATCTGTCCACACGCATGTGGCATTCTCGGCGGATGTACCGCAAGCCGAGGCTGACGTTACTTCAGTTGGTAGTGACACACATTATCGTGAAGCTGTTTCGCCTCTCATTACGAGGACTGGATATGACGGTACGCTTGGTGCGGACAGGCGCAACTATGCAGGCAGGACGGACGAGGATACAGATGAGATGACTCCTCGAGCAGCCACCTTTGACAGCGGCCACATCGCGATTGCACAACCTGATATCGGGCGAGCGGAGCCAGCTCTGCCTTCTGAGGAAGACGTGCCGACAGAATATAGACAAGAAAATATGCAGACTCCGGCTACGATTCCGTCTATTGAGCTTGGACAGGGCCGGAAACTCAGTCTCGCCGACACACCTCGACGCTTTCAGAAGGCCTTAAGCCACTTGCCGGACGATAGTGCTCATACCGTCCAAGGAACAGAAGATCTTTTTGATGACGACAGCCAGCAAGATGACAAAGATGCCATTTATGGCGAAGCCAAAATCAGCCCCACAGAAAGGATTGTATACCAGGCAAACAATGACGAGACAGCTGGAGGCGCCGGAGACGCTATGTCGACTCTGAGTGCAAGCGCTGATTCACTCCATTCTCGCAACAGCTGGGGTCATATGTCCACAGGATCTCATGCAAGCATGCGTAGTATCCGCGACACAGCTTCCGTCCGACACTCGGATGGATCTTATCTCGGAGGTCACAGCATTGTCAGAGCAGACTGGGCGGCAGACCTTGATGAAGAGTTGCGATCACCAGGCCTACTCGCGTCGAATGCGCAGTACAATCAAAGTCCTTCGGAAACAGGCCGCTTCTCGCTACGAGATTCAACTCATGATGGCGTCAGATTGACGGATCGACCACAGACACCCCTCACTCCGGTCGGATACGGAACAGCACGCCTCGATGATGAGGAGACGGATACAGATATGTTTGTCCCACGTGATGTGACAAACATGTCGTGGCACAACCGTGAAGATTCAGTGCCTGTGTCGCTTCACAGCCAGACGACGTTATCTTCCCTGCAGTCTTCGCCCGTGTCTCAGGGAGGAGAAAGACGCGATCCCACGATTCGAGATAGCTGGAACAGTGTCAACCCGGAATTTCAACAACAGTTTATAACCACTGAGGGCCGCCCACGAGGTGACAGTACACTCAACGGCAAGACTAGCTACGAGAATTCCAATTTCGAAGCAGATGGGAATGGCTTTGCCAACAACAACACCAGAGGGTCCGCCTACGGCCCGTCCCAGCAGCGAGCAAGAGCTGAATCCTCCGTCAGCGCAACTCCAAGCCAAGTTAGCATCAGTAACAGCCCCAGTCGAGGCAGCAGCCTTTTCCAGCGAATGCGCAATGTGTTTGAGGCAACCAACGGCACAGATGCCGATGATAACGTGCCCGCACGAGGACGCTCGATTTCAAGATTGTCCAACCCTCTGACGCAGCATTCTGACGTCAAGCTGAGCTCACAGACGTATGCCAATGCTGACCAGGGTCTTCCAAAGACTTCATATGAGTCTAGTAATGCATACGGGCTGAAGAGTCCTACGGCATACAGCAGCCAGTTACCTCCTTCCAGCGACGAGCGCATCAATTGAATACACTCGGGCCCAGATGAAGGAGCAATTCCGGAAACAGTTACAGGAACAAGCCCAGAAACAGGCTGGGGAGGGATAACATCGTGGCTGAGGCAGGCACTGCAGCGCCAAGCTGGCTTGCGAGCAGGTTAGAAATTCAGGCATGATTAAGGATGGATTGAGAAAATTGAAAATTGTTAGACACAGTAAGAAATAATCTAGTCATATATGTCAGTAGAGTCAGGAGCAGCAATTATACCATCCTGCTTATCATTTTATACCCCACCCATCTTCACATAAGGACATGTGCTGGCATGTGCTGGCATGTGCAGCACATGTCGACCATGCATGCACCAATTTTCGAGATGCACCTAACTTTGTGTCACGCTCCTCTTGCGAGTTGCAAGATAACAGACGTCTAGAGAGAATGGGTAAGGCATAAAAGTGGTTCCTCTATGCCTGGGCATTCATTTTGTCAATTGCAAAGTACAGCATCGCGCAATGTTTCTAGAAATGTGAGATGTGGCAGAAATATTGGTATATAGTATGACTACTAATTGCATTTCCAACACAGTAGTACAACCACACTACCTCAACATCATGTTGAGCAAGAACATCTTTCGTAGTATAGTGGTCAGTATATGAGCTTGTCACTGCTTACTCAGCAGCTAACATCGCTCGAGACCCGGGTTCAATTCCCGGCGAAAGAGTACTTTTTGGTTCCTTTTCGTCAACGAAAGCATTATTGCTTCACCCGATTTCTGTTCGACCAAATATTTGTTGTATGCTGAATGGGTCCTTACTTTTGTGCGCCTTTCTTCATGTTCTGGGCAAGATACACGGTCTCGTATATTCCGATTGGTCAGGTCAAGCTTATATAGTTAGTCAAGAACACTTGAAACCCCCCGACATAAGACGCGTGTATGCTGTAACACGTATCGGGCTGGAACTTTGGGTCAAATATTTTGATCAGAATGGATGTTAGTATAATCACCGTGAATGCTTTGAGACGGTCGCCATTCCATTGAGAACTGAGGTACATTCGCGTATTCAATTTCGACGCCCTCAGCACTCCAGTTGCTAAAATAAGGAGAAAAGGAGAATGAACCCACCGTCCTTGGGACGTGCTTTACAGTTATCGATGAAGGCGACAGACTGCACTAGCAGAGTCATCCTAATCAATAATACAGACGACCTTTCCTTTCGTTTGATTTGCCTCCAGAAGCTCATGCGCCTCCTGAACCTTTTCCCATGGCACAACGCGCTCAACAACATGCTCAAACTGCCCATTCACCAACCGGGGCAAGACGTTTCTCACAAAAAAGTCTCTTAGCTTCACTTGATACTCCAGAGACCTTGATCGCAGCTGGCTTCCCTGGATACATGCACGCTTGGCCAACACAGCAGCGATACTGACGGGCGCAGGCGCTACAGGACCATCCAGCCAGCCCAACTGCACAATGCGCCCGTCAATGGCGAGCACGTCTAGGTTTGCTTCAAGATAGGGTCCACCGAGGAAGTCCACCACGAGGTCGACGCCCTGTCCGCCGTTGAGCTCGTTGCGTACCTCTGAGGTCCAGCTCTTCTTATCCGGGTGCTGGGTGAGGTCCACGGCACCTGTTGCGCCCAGGTGGCTCACCGTGAAGTCGCACTTGGCTTGCTTGCGGGCTGTAGCGAAGACGCGAGGAGCCAGAATGTTGGTATCAGCAGTGCCGTCATTGGTGGTTGCTTGTGCTTCTGCTGCTGCGATCAGGTGTGCATCGCGCGAGAGTTGGATTCCAGCCACGGAGACGGCCGAGGCACCAGCGTGCCAGAGAATCGAGCGAGTTGTTGTGGGATCGTACTGGCCGACAAAGAAGAGCGCTTGAAGAGCGGTGAACCATGCCTGAGGTCCATCTTAGAGATGATTGAAATGGTTCAAAGGGGAATCCAGAAGATGTCACGGCTCGTGAAAAGCAGAAACTTACCTCGCAGAGGCCTCCCGTTACCTCGAAGGATAGTTCTTTAGGCTTTCTGATGAGCATCTTTTTGTTGATATTGACATACTCGGCTAACCATGTCAAATATTAGCCAGCTGCGAGGAGACACGTGCCGGTCGATTTTGAAAGGCCCCGAGAACCTACCATAGCCGCCACCGTAGAGAAGCCCAAAGACTTCATCTCCCACTTTCCACTTCTCGCCGTCTTGAACTCCATCATCTTCTTCATGTGTATGTGCAATTGTGCCGCTGAACTCAAGCCCCATAATTTTGGTTAGGTGCGAGATACCGGGATATTCTCCATCTCGTTGCAGCATGTCGCCACGATTGATGCCAAAGACCTTTACCTTGACCAGGACCTCACCCCGTGCAACTGGAGGCAGAGGAATGGCATCATTGATGAAAAGCGCTGTGGCAGGGCCGGAGCCACCGCGTACATCAACCTGATGTTACAAGAGATGAGAAAAGAGTTTGGCTGAAGTAGGTGGACGCTCATAACTCACGGCTCGCATATTTCCGGGAATTGTGTTGCTCATGGTGCTTGGTTTGAATATCTTCAAGCTGATTGTATGAAATGATTGGCTTGCGTACTGGCAGAGACCTTGGTGCTTTAGCGTAGATACTTATCTTAGAGCGAGAGGCTGTGAGAAAGTCATGGAATGATTTCGGCCTTTGTTCAAATGTAAATGAGAATGCGAAGTCAGTTTCTCAAGCCTATCGTCCAAATTAGATATTAGACCTCGTTTAGATCGAACTAAGCTCAAGTCACACAGCATTGCAGATCTGTAGCACAGCGCTTCCTTTACAGCGCCACAAACAAAGGGACCGTTGGTATGACTGCATCTGATGGCGGTCAGTCTTGGGGTATTATTCAAATGCACTTCATAGCGTTTTAAACGAGTGACAGAAACGCACTCCGCGAGGAGGATCGCCTTGTAGTTTATGACATATGAAATACTATGTATGTACCTTTCATGGTGTCGTATTACTTTCGTCATACTGTACACCGCCGCCACGTTGAACACTCTCACTCCCGCCTGTTTTCCGGCCAAAGTACATGTGTGACCTGAATTCCACAATCCATCAACCGCATTCTAGAAAATGCATTGGACTTGTCAGCTTATATCCCAGCATCAATCTGATCGACAGTGTTCGACATTGTCCACTGATCCCATCCAGTGCACGTCTCAGCTACAACCTCCTCGGCGCGGGCACCATCCACCGCCTCCGGCTCTTCCAAAATGACGATGTTCAGCCCCATGGAAGAGTGCCATGCAATATGGCAATGGTAGGACCAAACCCCTGGGTTGTCTAGCGTAACCTGTACGACCAAGTATCCATAACGGCGCTGCATGTGCGTATCCCGGCGCAGCGGATTCGCTACGAACTTGGTCTCGTCGCCGTCCCATGCTCCTGGCCCTTCCGCGAGAACCTGAAAATCGTGCCCGTGCATATGCCACGGATGTGCGCTCTGGTAGACAGTATTGACTACGATACGCACGGTTTTGTTCGTGCCCCAGTTGTAAACGTTGGCTGCGACTCCTGGAAACGTATCATTGCCCTCGGCTACTTGCCGTAGTGCGGGCATGTTGTAGTCTGTGTACTGTGTGCGGTTGTTCATGATCCAGATATGCTCACCCGTGGCGTTGGTGAAGAGATCGACTGTGACAGTCTCAACGGCGCTTGGGTTCGGGTCAATGGACTGAGGAGTGTATGGAATTGTCATATTGAGGTCGTCATTCTTGCAAAGAAATGCAGTCTCATCCGCTGCGGCTGCTGCGGCGCTCTTGTTGCTCGTTGGCAGAGCCAACTCCTGAGATGCAGGGAAACTTGGACGGTGTTCCTCTGTGCGACGGCTGTTTCCCCCCCAGATGTCACCATCTTGCTGGTCATAGCCAACAATAGCCAAACCCTGCGCGTTATGCGTGACTGAGCAGTTCAATGATATAGTCGAACGCATCCAGTACGTTTCCGCCGGATCAGCGTCGGCTCGCACCAGGATATCCGTCCGCTGGCCGACACCAAGTGTGATGAAATCCGCGTTATATGGTACGAGTGGCACAAAGTCATTGGCAATTACCTGCATTTGGTGCCCGTCAATACTAAAGTGAACTAGTGCTGCAGCGCCGACATTCATCAGCCGCAGGCGATGGGTTTTTCCTGGCTGCAGGCGGAACTGTGAGAGACCGGCGTCGGAACTGCACGTCACATTCGTCGGAGCCGAGGTCGCGGAGGAGCAGTTGTAACTGTTCTTGCCATTGATCAGACTGTTGTCAGACCACGGCACGTAGATGGTAAAGTCGGTTGTGTTACTAGATGCTGCCGCAACGACATCGTGGTATTCACTGTGGTAGTAGTCGCCGAGCATCACGGGACCCAGATCGACGTCGTAGTCGATGTGTCGAGGGCCGTAGATGATGAGGGGTCCGAACACCCCGGCAGTGTATTGTGCAGAGTAGTGTGAGTGCCACCAGGACGTGCCGTAGACATCGGCGCGGAAGCGGTATGTAAAGGAAGCACCTGGTGCAATAGGACACTGACTAAGTCCCGGAACACCATCGTACCAAGGAGTGCCCCTTTGATGGAGACCATGAAAGTGGATGGCGGTGCCTTCTGCGTCTGCATCGGCAGCGGCGTCGTTGGTAATGCTGTTCTGCACGCGCACTTCGATCCAGTCGCCCCAGTTGGCTTCGATGGCCGGGCCAGGATATTGGCCGTTGACATAGATACCGTGCTTGGGATAGCCATCTGGTGAGAGAACACCTCGGGCAACGTCGAAGTCGTAATACCTGGTTACACCCGTGTCTGGGATGGCGGACGGGAGTGTACCGTTGTACGACTCTGCTGGGTGATGGTCCCAGTGGGAATCGTTTCTCAGTGCGTCTGGATAACTTGGAGCCTCTAAAGTGCCCCAGGCGCAATTTCTAAGCAGGCCAATTTGTCAGTTTCAAGTTTCGATGGCCTTCTCTCCGACGAAGTTGTGCAACCGGTCCTACAAGGAATATTCTTACCCATTTGTCTCATTTTGTGGGAGGCTAGAATACACCAGCTTGGGAATTAACGTCAGGAGGGTGACAAATGCGTGCTTGCATTTTGTCTTGGCCATTCTAGCGACTTGAAGAAATATAATATATAGAACAGAGGCAGGACTCCCTTCGTGCAGAATCAGCGCCAAACAAAAAAGCGCAAAGCAGACGATTATACTGGGAAATCACCACTGACACTCTGACTTGCGATAGTCTTGGTGTCTGGAGCGTGTCAATCGATCAGTAGGCCACGAACAGCTATCCTATATATCTCTTTTCTAAAACTATGTATTGTAAAATAGCACAACACTGCCCTCCATAAACACACTTTGATCCCACTCACAACATACAACAACCCGCCCGCTAACCCGAGGTTTGAAGGATCAGAAAGGATGATGAGTGTTGCCAATACTGTCCACAAGCACGAATACGGGAGACCTCGACGACAATGGGGCTTTTACGGAACGACCGACTCGGGAGCCTTGCAAAGGATTCCTGGCTTGATTACTAGTCGAAGTCGAGGCCAATGTCGAGTGATGGTTAGTGAATGTCCTTGCGCTGAGGCAGATGGGCTGCTGACGCACTCGCTGAGAAGATTGAAGTTCCAGAAGGCTTGATCAGTCAGGTCCTTCAATAGTGAATCTGCGCAGGCTCGGTCTCCGAATACTTAGTCATGGAGAAGGACAGACCGGTATGATTGTCCGAC